ACATTATATTAATTAATTGGAGTAAAATTAGGTTTCCTAAATTAGGATTTAATTCTTGTAACGCCCCGTATTTTATTAATAAAGGAAAGTACTAGCTTTTAGTTTTAAGCTAGCCTGTATTAATAAATAATCATATTCATGTTCAAGTTCAGATTAATCAGTCAGTTATATTCTAAGTTCGACTATTAGTCGATAAGTTATTCGGTTTACTTATTTTAGTAACCGAATAAGTTTCCAAATTTAATTCCGATTCGTTTAATTAATTAATGAGTCCGGAATTAATTATTCAGTCAGCGATATCTTGTCATGTTAGTTATGTTTTTAGTTCCGATATTAATTTTCGGAATTAATTATTTTCAGTCATTTCAGTCGAGATTACCGGAAATTATTTTCGACGTACCGTTTACGTTCGGAATAATTTTGGTAATTAAGCATTATGTTTAATTAAGTAATTAAACATGATTAAGTGATTAATTAGTAATTAATCACGTAATTAAGCCTTTAAGCCGTATGGAATTTCGTCCATATTATGTTAAATGCCGTACGGATGTAGCTTGTAAGTCATGTAATTAATTCTTCATTTTGAAGGCAATTAACGTGGCATTATGAGGACTTTAGAGGGAGATTAGTCACCTAAGTATCCTTGTATTATTTTCAAGTGTTAGGCTAAGAGAATGACACCAATCACCCCATCATAATTATCCTCAATCGGTTTTGTATATATATATATATGGTAGTTGGATGAATTTTCCACTCCTATCAAGTTTAGCACCGTAAGTTCAGCACGCATCGCAAGCTATCGCTAGTATCGCACCACACGACAAGAAGCATCCTATCGCACGTAAGCGGAAGGTCACGACCGAGCACGGGAGTCCGAGGAGTCTTATCGCTCGAGCTTAATCGGAGGTAAATTCCCGACGGTTGTAGGTTGAGATTATTATGTTTATTAAGTTCAGTTTTCAGTTAGGCTTATATGCGTGTCTTATGCCGTCATGTTCAAGTTGAAATTCTCCGAGCAATCCTCGCATGTTTAGCCTTTATATGTATCATCATGTTCAGATTAGCTTAAGTGTTCGGAGGATTATTTATGTTTTGCGGTGTTTCGGCCAAGGGGATGTGGTCGCACATATAGTGTGCACCACGGGCCGTACGCGAGTGTCAAATATGTTAAGTTCATTTTCCTCGAACACTTTATGTGATTTTATTCAGTTTATCATTGATCATGTTCAGTTAAGTTTGATTTGCCGAGAGAAAATGAGGTTCGGTCGTAAAACG